CCGAATACACGATTGCAAGCAACTCGATCTCAGTCGTCGTATATCGCGATTCCTCAGATGTGAGACAACGACTGGCTATGGACACAATACAGTGATTTTCATTTTCATCTAACTGATACAAAATACCGCCTATTCCCATCAAGCTTCCGTCGCATTGAACCTTCAACTTAGCATTAGGATTTATGTGATTCAAACACACTGCATTCAAAAAGTTCTTTTTTAACTTCTCAAAATTTTCCATATGCTTATCAGTCCAAATCCATAATGAGTCTTTTCTCAATAAATCGCGAAAAGGTGTAATATATGAATTATGTGCTATTATAAATCTTCTATAGTAGTTACACATACCAAAGAAAGATTGTAATTGATTTTGGTTTTCGGGCGGCTCAAAGTCAACTATCTCCCTTACTCTTTCAAGACTCGGCTCTATGCCTTTTGAATACAAACGAAACCCCAAAAACAATATTTCAGTTTGAAACAATTCAGTTTTATCAATTCTAACCGTAAAATTACTTTGAAGCAATTTTTGGAAAATAATTTGAAGGATTTGTACGTGTCTATTGAAGCTCTTCGTTGCGACAACAGTATCATCAATATAAGTCTGCGAGTTTGTATAAATATCAAAAGGATCATCACAACAATTTTCATTTGAATCAACTAAAAATTTAAAATCTTGTGAAAGAGGCGTTAACATGGCTATGTTAAGAGCTCTTATAAGAGCGCTTCCAGCGGTTTTAACACCAAATGGCACTCTTATCCATTGATACATTTTTCCCTCAAATCTAAAAGCTGTCAACGGTCTCGAGTCCCTATGTAACATTACCTGCCAATAACTATTAGTCAAATCTATTTTTGAGAAAAATTTACATTCAAAAAATTGCTGCAACATTTCAGCTATAATTGGAGGAGATTCATGATCATCCTCTATACAATCATTTAACTGTCGTGCGTCTAGGCATATTCTAAGAGTTTTATCCGATTTTATAACTATCCTAATTGGATTACAATATTGACTAATAGCAGGCTCTATAATACTTTGATCCAACATCTCCTTAATAACAAGTGCAAGAGGTTTTCTAAATTCCAAAGGCACTGAATAATGTCTATTAATTTTCGGATTTGGTTTAGCTAATTTTAATTTATGTTCATAACCTATTGCACAACCTGTTTTGTTTGAGAAAAGTTTCTCATATCTATTCAATAATTGTCGGAAAACACTCTTTTCATTTTCGTTCAAATTCTTATTCAATAAAACTATGTTTTGTAATTTTTTATTAAGAGTCATACTATCGTTTTTACATAATATTTTGTCTTTATCATTTTGATGGTAATCACTATTTATACATAATAAACTTTCTTCTGCTTGATTCATAAACATATTAATTTTATACGTATTTATTTTTTCGCTCGTTATAATTTCATTTATTTCATTATTTTTATTTTTATTTCGCACTTCATTCTTATCTTCAAGTGAATATTCCGACTCATTTACATTATTAACTTGAAATTTTTCTTTATCTATTCGAACAATATGAATACACGTCACTTCGTCTTTATTCGATAGTATGATTCTTTCTAAATCACATCTTTCAAATTTTATGATTTCAGATGGTATAATTTCATGTTTAATTCTAAGCTGTGTTTTCCAATAATCAATCACCAAACCAGCCCTTAAATTAAAATCATTTCCCAAAATAATATCAGTAGACAAAAAAGGCACAACTAGGAAATAATGTGCAATTTGAAAATTATGGATTTTTAAGTGCAACAAAATTTGTTTTTTTATATTAGTTGATTTTTTCCCTATTGCTGTTGAGACGACTACATTTGAAACTGGAAGTTATAATAATTCAAAGTCAATTTTTAATTTATTATAATAGTTTTCTGAAATAGCAGTAATCTGGCTCCCACTATCCACTAAACTCCAAACAGAGCTATTCAAAATATTAACCATAATGCGTGGTGAGGCAGGTATTCTTTTGTTTATGTTCTCAATTTGACCCTTATCATTAACTACTCCATATGATAAATTGTTTTCTAATTCATGATATAGACGCATTGGCGGGTCAGAATTCAATACGTCTATACTGAGTTTAAATTATTGTTTGAAACCTGATTATTATTATTATTCCCATTTTGATAGTTTGGCGGGGGATGAGATAGATCAGGCAAATTCATTGTAGCTTGATTCGAATTCAAACTCTGGCCGTGCAACCGACCATTAGAGTTTTGTAAACAATTACATTTATGATGATCCTCATACGGACCCTGAAAATGATTACGATCTCTATTTCCGCGACCACGACCCCTACCATAACGACCACGATTTCTACTTTGATTAGCGTACATACTCTGTACTTTAAAATTTTGCCAATCTTGTTGTTGATTATTTTGATTGTTTTTATAGTTATTAAATTGATTTTTCCTTTCCATGAAAAGAGTGTCAAGAGTCGACAACGTAGCAACAATTGAATTCGAATCATCACAAGCAACTGAAGCCAAAGATTGACGAGCCTGATAGGGCATTTGTAATACTATATTATGATTCATCTCAAAATCTGACATAGGTGGCATTAAAAACTTTGCTTGTTTTCTTTGTGCAAAAAAGTAAGACTGCAAATTTCCATCTCTCTCTTTGCTAAATTTTCTCGATAACCATTTACTTTTAATTTTAACTTGAATAGGAATGGTATAAAATTTTTCAATAAAAGCAACCCTGAACGACGGGTAATCCGAAAAGTCAGGTTGTAGTTCATACCAATCGCGCGCTTTACCGTGAAGAATAACACCTACAATATTTATTTTTCTATTTTCAAGAATTTGTTTGAAACGAAAATATCGTTCAAGTCCATCCAAAAACTCAAGGGGATTTTGAGTATCCTCGTCAGAAAACTCAGGGATTTTAACTTCAATATGATTTGTACCCGAATTACCCAAAATCGCCAAAACGTCCGCAAGTACATCGCCCCGTTCGTTGTTCGATCGTTGTGCGTCTTGAGGTATAGACTGTGGCGGAGCGACGATGTTTTCAGATTGATTTTCATGCAGAACACGAGCAGCGTCCAGCTCTCGCTGTAGCTGATCTACCTGCTCGACCAGGCCGTTGGCTCTCTCGAACTCAACATTCACAAGCCGCTCCAAACGTGCCACCTCATCGCGATGCCTTTGCGCTTCCTCGCGCTGCCTCTGCTCCAAGCGTGGGTCATCGGGTACAACATTCATTGTTGACTTGTTTTTTCTCGTTCGTTTAGAAAACAAAATAGAATTAGGAAATATTTTCGTTGTTTTTCTTCCAGACCTTGTCACATAGTTCAAGTCGTCAGCCATTCATTTTATTAAAATTACGTGAGTTTCATAACCGTTGGGTGCCAATGTGATAAATTATTTGTTGATATAAATATATAAAAGGAGAAAACGATATAAAAGGTAAAATAGTTAAGATAAAATAGCTAAGTCGGTAGAGCAAGACTCAAGGCAATCAAATTGAACCTAGTAACAGGAAAGGAAGATCACTATAATTTAAATTAAAATTTATAAAATTATTTATTCAGTTACAATCAATAAATGAAACTTGCTTACACTCTCCCGGTGAAACCTGAGATGTATAGATTTAAAATCAAAACATTTCCTATTTAAAATTCACACTACGATTCGTCAACACGGATACATAATAAAGGATTAGCTCACACTAAGATGCTCGATGTTCTTCACTCACAATGCTCGGCTGTTCTACGCCGCATATACTAAGATGCTCGATGTTCTTCACTCACAATGCTCGGTTCTTCTACGCCGCATATCTGTTGATGAGTATTGAATGTTTACAGCTGCCAAGAAATCTCAAAATTGAGAAGAAAGCGGAACTTGGCTTGCCTCGTCACAATTCCCAATGTAGAAGTTAATCACTAAATCGCACTAATTTATTTGCAACGCAGACAGTGAAATAATCTTGATCCTAAAACGGATTCTATCGCAGAAAGTAGCCGCTGGAATGTCGTCACAAAATAGTTGTAAGTAAGAAGGTCCCGCCTTCTGTGGTGTTTCACAATGAGTGGCAACCGAGCAAAGGAGTGCGAGCAGCGTTAGAGAGGGGTTTATATAGTAGAGCGCGTCACACAGTTAGAGTCTAACGCACACGAAACGACTCCCTACTTACTCATTTACACAAGATTTGAAGAATTCAAATCGATTCGTTACAATATAATTACAATACTGTCAATATGTTGAAATATATTTGAAGTAATTAAATTAATTGCGCTTACGATATACGTCTAATTACTTTAATGTTTACCGATACATTAGATTTAATTTAAAGCTAATAAAATAAATCTGATTAGATAGTTAGTTTCTTTAAACTTGTTAAAAAGTATTGGGATCTATTCAATTGAATATAACTGATCAGTAGGTTATATCAAAATGTATAAAAAGCTATTAACAAATATTGGATAAAATATGATTGAAGATATTGATGTTGACGCCTTTTTCGAACGCATTAAAATTTGTTAGATTAAATGTAATTGAATATTATGTTCTTTTGGAATTTATTCAAATATATTAGAAACTATAAAATAAAATATGATTGAATAGTGTGTTCTATCAAAAATGATTAAAATGCATTAAAAAATATTAGATAAAATGTGATTAAAAACATTCACGTTGGGACCTTTTTCAAATTTATTAAAAGTTGTTAGATTCAATGTGATTGAATATTATCTTCTTTTGGAATTCATTTAAATATATTAGAAATTATATAATAAAATATTATTAAATAGTGTGTTCTATAAAAAAGGATTAGATTGTATTAAAAAATATTAAATAAAATGTGATTAAGTTATTTGTCATTACATGTGCTATTGGAAGTTATTCAATATGATTGAAACTAATACGAGATTTTATGATTTGATGTGATTCCAATTAGATTTTATTAACGACGATTCAATTTTAATTCACATATTAATTAAAGATCAACAAAAATATTAAAACTGATTGGAAATTATTGAAATTTAATCAATTTTAATCAGAATCAATGGGCCATTTTTAGCAGGGAAGGTGTTAATATGAAAATATGCCATTTTGTGGCTTATGCTTTCTTCGTAATATCGAGAAAAATCTTCAGACATTGGATTTTTAAATTGATTCCACAATTCTTCTGGGTTAAGTGGTTGACAATGTACCATAATTCGTACAAATAAATAACGAAGTCTTTGAGGCATCATCCATTTTGATCCTTCTTCCAATGCGTGTTTCCATTCATCGTCATTTTCAATAAGACCCAATGCTAGGCAAGCTGCTGTAAAAGTAGGATGTGCTACGTTATCAACAGTTCTCAGACTTTCAAAACTTACGGCTCCTTTAACATGTAATAGTAATAATCTTAAGTGAAATAATTCAATTTGCGTTGGACTGACAGAATACATACGTCCAATAACATTAAAATGTTTTTTTCGTGTACTCCACTTATCTAAACATATGTTTTCATTTTTTTGTTTTTTATGTGTAAAATGTTTTGGAATTTCAGCATAAAAATATTGTCTTGCTATCTCATTTTCGCTATTTAATTTAAAATAATCGAGCAACATACTACTTGTACTATTTAATAGATTTTCTAATGTCAAGGGATCGTTGACATTGTCAGAAATTATGATAGAATGATTATTAGGTAAATGCACAGGTAATCTAATAATACTATGGCTTTTATCGTGTAATGGTTTGCTTAATAAACGATAGACAGATTCAACAGGTACAACATATCGAGTTTCTATAAACTTATTAATCTCGTCATGATTAATACCTACACTTGTTCAGAATCTTGAATAATGACTGTAGCAGCATCATGACCTTTGTATATATATTTATATAAATATTTTACAGCTAAAATACTTGATACTGCTTCTACGTTTATATGACAATCGAACATTTCTGATATTTCTCGACAATGAGGCACTACCCATCTATTGTTAACTTGATGACCATTAAAGCGTTCGTGAATAATGCCATCATCTGTTCGGCGATAATTTGGGTAACCATTTTCATCCATAGTAGTTTCCTTTTGAAAATTCTTAGGAAAATTTTTAGAACATTTTCCGTTTTCCGTACACCAGTCACCGCAAGGTCCATGTACCATATGCTTTAGTATAATATCATATAATCGTTGATTATTTGATTTATTGGGAAATTTAGCTGATATATATTTATCAACAATATCAGGAGTAGTCCATTTAAATCCACTTTTTAAAGTTATCAATAAATGCATATGTGGCAAACCTCTTTTTTGAAATTCTATAACGTAAACATAAGCAGCAATTTGACCAAAAAAATTTTTTTTAGTGATTAAATCAAGTAGTCGATCTTTTTTTAAATGAAATACTCTTGCTACAATGTCTGGTCTATCTGAAGCTTGTTGACCAGGTAAAAGATTTTCTTTAATTTCAGCCCAATTGGGGTTACGTGTCATTGTAACAAAAACATCAGATTTTCCTTTTTCATTTACGATTGCCATAGCATCTTGATAACATTGTTGCATGTAACGTGGCGATCCAATAAAAGTTGAACGAAGAACAACAGTTTTGCCAACTTGCCCACCAACTTGAACAGCTGTATTTTGCATAAAATCACTAAGACCTTTATAAGTATCAGCTCGTAATTCTTTTTGATGATCTTTACAATATTGGATATGATCTTTTTCAACTTTCACGTAACTATCGACTATCCACTGTTGAAATAATCTACCACCTCTTATGAATGGATTAAATTCATATTTGGTCGTATGGCTATTCGATGTCTATAATAAGCCATTCGAGAAATACGTTTAGTATCATTTAACGCGTGTTAAATTTTTGTGCCATCCTTGAGTACCGTAAGGATAAAATAAAGGATATATCCAGGGTTCTACATTAGGATCCATAGTACTAACGTATTGTAAACTTTTTGTATTTTTATTTTTAATTGTAACGTATGATTCTGGAATTTCACCATCTGCTGTAGTAGAAAATATTGCAGCAACTTCATTAACCCGTTGAAAATTGTATCGTCTTCTATCTGCACCTGGTTTTAAAGAAAATAGTAATTGTAATTCTGGTTGAAAAGTAGTATTATCATATAATAATGATTGTTGCCTTTGTAGTTCTAATCTCATCATTTCATAAGATTAGGCAAAAATGTTATTTTCACGTATAATTCCGTCTAAAGTTAATAAAAGTTCAGCGTCTAATGTTAAATTATTACTTAATCTATAATCTAATGCTTGTAATTGATCAACTATAAAAAGTTGTCCGTAAGTTGGATTTTCTGTATCACATGGATATAATGCTGTGTTTATTTGATAGTATATTTGCCTTTGTATTTTAAAACAGAATGGTCCAGGACGATTTGGTCTAAAATCAAACAAATTTGCATTGAAAGATAGTGAATCGAAGGAAAGTGAATTATTATAAGGGCGAATATCTTTCATAAATAAATTTGACTTCGGATGCTGGCTAGTAAAAAGTTTATAAAGTTGAGATGGAAATTCGGGTAAAGGATCTAATGAAACTGAGCCGTAATTACAACATTCGTGAAATGAAAAACCTTTATTAGAAATTCTTTCATCTTTAAAATGTTTAGCTTCACAATGTAAACATAATACATCCATAGGGCCTAAATAATCAGATTCTATTGTTTCATTTCGTTGGTAAGTTGCATCTCGAGCAGCTTGACGTCGGCGACGTGCATTTTCTCTATCACGAACCCGCTTAGCTTGTTGATATTGTTCTTGTTCTTGTGGTGTACGCCGAACGTGTTTAGCAGGCATCACAACTTTGTAAAATGAAATAATATAATATAATAAAAATTCACAAGTTTAATATGAATAATATTTTAGAGAAAATTATAATTTAATGAATAAAATGAAATTGTTTTGTCAAAAAAATGTAAAAATCATATTCATTTAATAATTAATAAATCTAATTTATTTAAATATTCTCCTTTAATACACTATTACTTCAATTTTAGGTACATACATTAAAATAATAATGTTACAATTCTAAAAGTTAAATTAATCTTTGTAGTTGAAATAAATATTGGTTAAGGTTTATTTGTACAAATAGTTTGTTAGATATTCAAGTAGGTTTTGTTTGTTAATAGTTTAGTATGGTTGTTTGGTTTTCTATTAAGTTTTGTTTGTAAAGTTCTAGTAAGTTAAGTTCAGTTATGTAAGTGAAGTAATGTTGAAGTAAATTTTGGAATCCTGAAAAGAAAAAAAATTAATTAATTAAAGTATAATGAAATTTTCTTTGTATTATTTTATGCAAATGTAAGATGGAATTCTATAGGATATTTATTATTTTCATGTCTGGACTTAGAATATAACTTTATAATGTAGCATATATATCTTTGTAAACAACATACATCTTTCCTATACTGTTTTCAGTTATGTAAAAGCTTCATAACTATATGTATTGTTATTTTAAGTACAAATTTAAAATGCTGTATACTAATTTGACTAAATTATCTGTTTGAATGTTTAATTTTTTCGATAAAATAAGTTGGTTGTTGCTTAAAATTTTTTATAAAAATGTATCTCAAATTAAAATAAATCATGATAGATTATGAATAAAATTTGAAAAATCAGTGGAACACTATACTATTTTCTAATATTTTATAGTTCATTTAGTTTTAATTAATAATCTCAAGTAATTATCAAACTTTTTGTTCATTTTAAAAGAAAAAAAATTTTCCAATTATTATTTGAGTCATATTAGAATGCTCATAGAACATTTGACATCAAATATGTTAACTAAACTTATATGTTTATGTTTCAGAAATTATGTAAATGAGGTTAGGCTGTGAATCAATTATAAAATAGAATAAGTCAATCAATGAAAATATGAACATAAGAAAATTGGTAAATTTTAGTAGAAATTTACTTTAATATTTTTTCAATTTCACATTCATAATTCAGTGAAATAATGAGTGTAAGTTACGGTACGTTTTTTTTGATATTTACAATTATGGTAAACATGATAAATATGTATTGTTTTGAAATTAATCTATTTTTGAAAGTAATAATAACTTAGAGATCTCCTTTCTTTTTATTGATAAAAAATAAAAAATTTCCAAATTGTTGAATAAAAAAATTAATAAAACAATAAATATGAAAGACATACCTTATAATTAATCAGAAGGTTTTGATTATCAAATTATGTTTTCGTTTCCAACCAAACTCATAATGACTTCATTAGGTGATTTTATAATGGGGCTTGAAAAGTATACTTTAATCTGGAAATTTTCCAGTGATTGCAATTCTCTAAAAAAAATAATTTATATTATGCAGATGATAATAGAATCAATAATAGAAAGCAAATTTTAACATTTAAAATTGGTTTTCTATTGTTTAATTGTTATTATATATAGAAGAAATCGTACTTTTGATAATATTCACAATAAATGTTGGAATATCAGATAAAAACATTTTGTTATATTTTAGTAAACTGTCTTCCATCATAATGATAATATTTTTTTATATAATATAGTAATTGAAATGTTAACAAAATATATTATTGAATGGAATAAATATCAATACAATATTTGATAAAACTCTAATTGAGTTTACCATGTTATGATTTTCATCATAATTTTGCGTTTTAAGGTTAAGAAAAGAAATCGCACAAAAAATGTACTCAGTACTTACTGCAGCTTAATTATTGATATTGTTAACTGTTGTTTTTATTACTTTTCATAGGTATTAAATTTGTATTTTTATGATACACTGAAATATTAAATAACCTGTATTTCTTTTCACATTTTATATTATAGACAAATAAATAGCGATTATCACAATATTAAAATGTAATATTGATCGGAGTACGCATGTGCACAACCATTGGTGATAACTATTGTGGTGGTTTAAATTTGCTGAAATTTAAATTATAACAATATTCCATTAAATCGATAGATATGTAGGGACTCAGCCGTCTCCCACTTCGCACGCCAGACAGCAGCACCAGCAGCAACTCCAGCGGTAGCAGAGGTTGAGCCCGCGCGGCTGTCTTTCTTTTGCCAACTCATCTTCTTTCGTCCCGATGGCCCAAGTGCCCTCACGCTTGACCGCTCTCTCCCGATTGCTCGCTCGCTAATACGAGCAGTTTTGTATTTAGTGTTTAAGAGCAATAAATATTTATTTTATCTCGTACAGAATAGATGGCAGTTTCATTTGCCCCACGCACGAAACTCCAAAGTGGTGAGACCCCGACGTGATTGAGAGGGATTTCTGATCAGCATCGTGGCCGAGCAAACGAGCGGCCATAACCTCCAGCCGACGCCACCTTTGACGAGGAGCCGCAGATCTCGCTTGCCGCTACCTACAGCAGCAACAACCTCCGCGGAGCGACGAGCAACATCGGAGCAGTCAACTCGACAGGCGCTAAGCAGCCCTTCTGCCCGTCTGCGAGCAGCATCAGCGGAAGAGAATCGACAGCCCCAGGTAACTTCGGCGAAGACGAGCCAACGAACACCCAACCTCTTCTCGCGGCCGATCACTCGGTCCTTCGCTAAATCTCGCACAGCGCGACAACAAGGTGAAAGCGCACGAGGTTAAGCCGGACACCATGAGCGCCAACAACCAAAATGGTGCCGGGGCTGGCACTGGCACCGGCGGCATCGAAGTACTGCCTAATCCGGCCGGCTCTCCTAATGCAGCGGAGTTTGCAGCGCAACGAGAGATGCTGGCGAGGCTGCAACAACAAGTGGGAACGGCCAACGCCGCACACCCTCGGACCTGTAAGCTCCCACCACTGTGGAAAAAATCGCCAGAAAGTTGGTTCCTCCATGCCGAATCAACTTTCGCCTGCAACAACCTCATCGACGACACAATGCGCTACAACCACGTTGTGGCCGCGCTGGACACCGAAACGATCGACGAACTTCTCGACGTCCTGCAGAGCCCGCCAACCACAGGCAAGTACGACCACCTGAAAGCGCAAATGCTTACGCGTTTTGGACAGACGCCCGAGCAACGCCTACGCGCGCTCTACGGTGGCATCACGGTGGAAGGCCGCAAGCCATCACAGGTTCTGCACGAGATGAGGCGCCTCACAGGCAACAGCATCGACGAGGCGGGTCTCAAGGTCAGGTGGCTCAACGCCCTGCCGGAGGCCACCCAGAGGGTCCTGCGCGTCATGCGTAACAACACCTTAGAAGACCTGGCCGAAGCAGCCGACGAAATCAGCGACATGCCCACCGGCGCAGCAGTGAGCTCTATTAAGCAGCCCTCGCGAGGCTCCTCCCCTTACCGTACAGACTCCATTGCAAAGGAGGTCTCAGAGCTGCGTCTTACAGTGGCGCAATTGGTGACAGCCACCAAGACCGTCCTCGAAGCAGTCGCTGGACGCCCCGGGTCTCGGCAGCCCGGCCGGAGCCGCAGCCGCAACCGCGGATCGGGAGGTCGCGCGGCGTCGTCGGTAGCCCCGGCCACGACAAGCGGCCTATGCTACTACCACTTCCGCTTCGGAGCAGCAGCCGAAAACTACCGGAAACCCAGCACGTTCCCGACGGCGCAGGAAAACTAAGCTCGCTGCCGATGGTTCAGGAGGCACACGGCAGCGCACCAGCCACCGAGAACCGCCTCCACGTCAAGGACAAGCGTTCAGGCTTGACTTTCCTCATCGACTCCGGCTCCGTGGTGTCATTGCTGCCCCGTTCGGCAGTATGTACTACGTTGGAGCCCCTAGTTAAGCAGGAGCTTAGCCTCACCGCGGCGAACATGTCGTCGATTGCAACGTACGGGCGCACTGTGCTCACGTTAAACCTGGGACTACGCCGCGACCTGACCTGGCCGTTTGTCATCGCGGACGTTCACGGCGCTATCATCGGCGCTGATTTCCTGGCCCACGCGGGCCTCATGGTGGACATGCAGAACCTTCGCCTCGTGGACTCAACGACGTCACTCAGCGTGCGAGCCCTAGCTTGCCCAGTGGCCGAGCACTCCGTGGCCATACTCCACGCCGGCGACGGTGACACGACTCCACGCAGCCAGTACGACCGTCTACTCGCCGAGTATGCCCACCTAGCTAAGCCTAGCAGACTCCCGGCGACGCTCAACGGCAGCGCGGTCGTACACTACATCCACACGGACGGACCACCAGTCTACGATCGTGCACG